TATATGTTGATCGAAATTTAGACGCCGACAGAATAGTTTGTGATTTGAAAAAAAACCTGGAATAAACAATAACAGATATTGTGGATATTGCATGATTGAAATATGTCTGTCATTCATTTGACACGTTCTTTAACGTTTCCAGAGATCGCTGTGACAACTTTTGTGAAATCTTAATGCTCTAACGTGACCCGCGCGGGTCAAGTTAGGAAACCACCATTCTTTATAAGAAGAAATGTTTTGTTCCTGTGACTAATTAGTGTATTCATTTTGAGAACATTTACTGACTAAAGAATGAAAAATTCACGTAGTAACAGTTGACTTATAACGACATATTCGTTAACATCACTTGGCCAATTTTAAAAGTGTCCGATAAATCTCTGCCAATTGTTAAATAAATTCGTTTTATGTAGAACTCTGGTTGTCATGACATGTAAGATGTTAAACAAACAAAAAAAAATGTCACAAAGTAAAAGGTCTAGAACTTACATATTTCATGTATTTGGAGTGTAGCTTTGTATTCATTTACCAAAATTGTTCATACTAAGCTAAGTCCCTAGGGCACAACTGCCCCCCTGAAAACCCTTTTTTAACAGACCTTTATATGGCAAAAAAACAGGGGCAACATTGTCGCAAAATACGCCCGTCACCAAATTCTTTGATAGAGATGTTGGTATTATAGATATGCATATTGAAGTTGTGCATGCTCAGGGCAATATCCGGACACTATCCAGATATTTTATCATCTCTAGTGACATTGACCTAAATGACATGTGTCACACTTGTAAAAAGCTATCATTTGTGTTACAATCCCTCAATATATAATGACTATATGTCCCTGTATACATCTTCTTTACTTTATTCTTAACTTTGATCTCTCTATGTGACCTTGACATTGGTAACAGTATCCTGGATTTTGTGTGCAATACGTAGATTCACAATGGTGAACATTTGTGCCAAATTACATTGTAATCCCCGGATGAATTTAGAAGTTTTGCTCAGAACAAGCATTTTTCAGTGACCTCTACGTATGACCTTAACCTTAAAGCTAGAGACCTAGTTCATGCACGTGACACTGCTTATCATTGTAATGAACATTTCTTATAAGTTTCATTAGCATTCCTCCATGCGTGTAGGAGATATGCTCTCTCTGGACAAAATCTCTATATTAAATCATGTTTAGTGACCTTGACCTTGCATATATTAACCTAATTTACATGTTTCACACCGGTAGTTATGATATTGACCATTTGTGTTTCAATCCCTCAATAAATGATGCCTAAATGGCCAGAATACACATTTTCATATTTTTATCTGAACTTTGACTCCTATGTGTGAACTTGAGCTTGACAACAGGCACATTGATTTTGCACGCGAAACTCACAATGGTGAACATGTGTGCCAAGTTATATTGAAATCCCTCTATGCATGTAGATGTTTTGCTCTGAACAAGCGTTTTCAATAACCTCTGTAGCTTTGACCTTTGACCTTAAGACCTTGTTTATACGCGCATCACAGCTTCTCAAAATTGTGAACATTTATGTGAAGTTTTAATACAAATCCTGCATATGTGTAGGAGATATGCTCCGGACAAAATTGGATATCGTCTGCCCGCCAGGCGGGAAACTATAATACGACCCGTTTTTCAAACGGGCGTATTGAAAAGGGGTTATTTAAAGTCAAAAGTTAAATGTTCTTTCAATCTAAGTAATGTGGAATCAACGATCTTAACCATGACCTAGTAACTTACATTTGCATTTAATCTCGTTATTTTTGCATTTACTATAAAATATTGTACATGCAATTGAACTATGACCATAGAAGACCTCTACTATGACCTATAGACATACACACCCTTTTTATATCAAATGTAAAGTCATCTATGATATTTGATTAACTTGATTATGACCTAATTACCTACATTTAAATTTGTCAAGCCATGCTCATTTAATATGGATTTAAGGATTCTAAGTGACATTGAACTTTGATCCCGACCAAGACCAAGTGACCTTCATTTTTGAAGCTATGGCTGTCAAACAGGCACAACGGTTTGTCGGAAATTGAGTTTTGACTTTGGATGACCCTAAGATAACCCATTAACCTATTTTCACATTTTCAGCTATAACAAAATAACAATGGTTATCAGGTGAACGATATATAACCATCACCGTCTTTTATAGACGGGTTAACAACTTAATGACTTTTAGTATTGTATTTTGTATACGATTCCTTTAGTGATTTCGTTTTTGTGCACTGTAGATCATGATTGAAAAAATAGTACGCGTATCTAAATATGTGAACGTTTAACTCCTGCTGTTACCGGTCATCTAGTTATCCCGGCGGAACATTACTTATCTGGAAAACTGATGAGTACTCTGAAAGATTTCTCTGCCATCTGTTTTATTCCTTATCTAAAAATAATTACTATTGCCCATCGCAAAATCGATATTAATGATAACAGGAAAATCATTGTTTCAAAGCACCAAAGGCACCTAAATACTTAACAGAAGATGTGTACCTTTTATCAGTACCTTTACATGTGACCTGGAGTCAAGGACCCTGTTTAAGTTTAAACTTGAACCCAAAAGAATAGACTCTGTCTTGCGAAGATGCAAAGACAATTTTCAGTCAATTAACCTATCAATAATAAGACTCATGCCATAAGAGAGATTTTTTTTAGATTTATTTTACCAGATACAAGGATACCTGAGTCATCAGCATATTATAAAAGTTTATTGCTTGGGGTTGCAGAAATGTCATTGACATATACATGACATAAAAGAGGACCTAAAATGAACCCCTGGGGACAACATAGGTACTCGTAACAGTATTAGAATGAGTACCAGTCAATTTCACCAGCTGCTGTCTATCAGAGATAAGACTTGAAACATGTACGAATGTACCTATGGCAGATGTTTGAAGTTTCATGTGTAGTATAGTGTGATTTACTTATCAAATGCCTTTTGTAGATCTCAACGTATTATGTATACAATACTGCCTTTGTCCATTTCAAATTTAGTAAATCTGTTAAATGAATCAGAGAATTGAGTACCGCTCATGCCGGTGCTAGGGGGCGTGAAGGATGATGCACTTATTCATTATCCCTGATGTACAGACTCAGTCAAACCGAGTCTGCAATTTTCATGTTATTTTGCTGTGATTAATGCTTCCGAGGGATCACTTTGTTTATAGATTTCTTTCACTGGCACATAGAGTGTGGAATATAATGTATATCTATACTGCCATGTAACCATCCGCTGGGATTGCACCGTGGACCCTGTCATCAGTTAAGTAATGAGCACTAATTTAATCGTTATACTGGATAAGTCATTATGTAACCTGCCAAATTTCACAATTTCTTAAATAAACCACAACAGCCTAAGTCACCCTTTACAATATTCCTATAACTCTATAAAAGATACTATTGTTAGCTAACACTGGGTATAAACTTATAACCTGTAGACTTGTCAATTCATGTATTATCATTTATACATTTAAATGCAAGCATCATCCCTTCTATAATTATGACATAAAGGTAACTCTTTAAATATAGAAATATTATAAGTTTCATTATATCCATATACTAAGACATACATGTATGTACATAACATTAATAATTCCCAGTTTCTATTAAATAAATATGAAATCCTGTCAATATTGGTGCTTAAATTGGTACATGTAGAAAGAAAATTATAATGTACAGTATAAAAGTAAACAAAATCTCAAATAGTCTATATGTCACATAATAAGGAATGAGTTGCGTCTAAGCATTAAATGCATATCTCTTACAATAACAAATACTGTCACTCTTTAAACCTTTTATTAGACTTTTCTTTATAACAACTAACTGCATATATCAAGTGTTTATAAATGATAACTTAAGGATGTTATCCTTTCTCTGTTTTAATATATGGACATGAGCACCTATAAACATAGCTTAAATTTTCTATCTTTCATTTTTACCAAACGTTATTTTATTAACAATTTAAATACAAACAAATAGAAAATAATAATTAGTTACACATAGTGATTAGAAGATTCCTGTAGCAGAATACCTGTAGGTACTACCTGAACAAACCAGCAGGCGTATTCCGTTCATATCTTAACTAGGGCTGGATCAATATACCGGTAAATCGGTATTTATCGATTTTCTGTTTTTCAATACGGTACGGTTACCGGGTTTTAGCTATACCGATACAAAGGGAGACAACCTAATAAAAATGCGTAACTAACGATCATGATGACTTTACATTAAAATTATCGTCTGTTTATTAGTGTTTAACAAGTAAAATGTCAGCGAGAAAGTCAAAAGTGTGGGCATTTTTCGCCAAAGTCAACGATAAAAAGGCCCTCTGTAATATTTGCAAGGCCGAAGTGGCAAGTTCTGGCGGCACAACTAATATGTCAACTCATCTGAGGAGGCATCACAAAATTGATCCAGCCATTCAATTTAACGCATTGGAGAAAAAGTTACCTTCAGGTTTGCGGTAGTTTTATTAGACCAAACAGTAACTTGTAATTTAATCCAACACACGAATTGAATATAGTATACACGTATATCTTACAAATTTTTTGATTTTCCAATATGAAAGTAGCTAAATAAATGTGACCGAGATATTGACCTTTTGTGACCTAGCTAAACACCGTTTCCCGGGAGGTTACGGATTTAGCTCTCGATCAAATGAAGTCTACAAAATTAAAACGTGATATTTCTATTTTTATTTTACCGTTTAAGAATGAAAAATTTGATGTTTTAAAGAATTGTCTCAAATTTAACAGAATTAATTTTATAATTAAAATCTAGTATAAACTTAGAACAGTCATAGGCACCTGCCATAATAAATAAAGATATTTTGCAGAAACGTGTGTGTACATATGTCTGCATGAAAATTATTTGTATAATGATATCTAATCCTTTTTTAAATAATTGTTTTGTTTCATATTGTCAAAACAAGGCCATCATGTTTATTTCAGAAAAGTTTCACAATTAAAGGTTCCTGAGCTCGCTTTAAAATTGCTCTTTTTAGTATCTAATCGTATTAAACATACTTTAATAAACTTATTTTTCCTAAAATTCGAATAAAATTCACGGAAATTGCTTTAGTATTACCGTTACAAAACCCGGTATCGCACAGATGATAGACTTGCTATCCGTTTAGCAGGTGCGACCTCAAACCGGAAGTGACGTATAATTATCCCTAGTGTAAACTGAAAGTAGTAACTTCACAATATAAACACGTACAATTGGTACTGAAAATACGAATTATGGAAGGTAATGTCTTTGATTACGAGTTGGATGATAATTTTGTCGTTCAGCCATACATGTACGAACCTGAACCGACAATTGAAATTAACGAGAGCGATTCCAATGATGAAGAATCGGAGGAAGAATTAGACTTTGATTTCGCCGTAGAAAATGACCGAAATCGAGAGAGGATTGGGAATGTTAACTGGTAATTTTATTATATAAAATACATGGACATTATTTTCTTTTTAGCCGCGTAAGTTTCCAAGATAAATGGCTGTCTTTTGTATCTTTGTTTACGTTGATACTGAAATAAAAGTCATACAAAGATTGAATTATCGGCCATAATAACTGTCGTATACACACGTCTGTAAGTCAGTGGCGAAGGAAATACTTTGAACGAAGTTTGAGCTGGTATGCATTGTACGGAGTGACATTCTTATTTTAATGATGATTTATACCTCGGAGTCCGATCAGTAAGATTATTCATTCTTTTTTTGGGGTAAAAAACTTTTTTCTTAAATGTTTCCACTCCTTTTTGTTGTCAGTAAAGTCGGAAACTAAATTAATCATGAGACTAGCTAATAATTTAACATAAATTGAAATTGTTAGCATCATAATATGCCTCTTAATTATTTCCAGGTTTGTTAATGTATGTTTTTCGTCAACAACATAATCTTTGCAGTAATGAATACAACTGAAATACATTCAGTGAATTAGTTAATTTGCCTCACAAAAACTACATTTCTTCACAAAAAAAATGAGAAAAATATGTGGAGGTAATGATTATGATATGTGTCGAAGGACATTTTGTCAGATCATAGTTTATGGGAAGATCTTTACCTTTTCCAATTCAATTTCTTCAAACATATACACCCTGGTTTTATTTCAGGTGTGAATGCAGAAACTGCAGCGCCATGCCAACCGGTATTGAGAGTAAATGCTGCATGGAGTTTGGAGAGCTTTCTGAAAAGCTTGACGGTTTTTGCTGTATAACCCAACATCCAGGATTTGTGGGGAACTGTTTAAATAGGGATGTTATTGAAGTGTCATTTTACGAATTTCTTCAGCAAAATGGACCAGTGGGAGACGAGGAGCCAATTCATGAGTATGTATTTCCTACATACATTTGTGAATAACCATTAATGGGATATTAATTACAAAACACAAGTGTCAGTTAGCCAACATTGCAGAATTTATTTAAACAGGAAATTAATTTGAATTTAAAACTAATAAAACAATAAATAATGTAAATAAATAGAATTTTTAACATTTAACAGAATAAAAAAGAAAAACAAACATAAATACAAAAGCTGTGACAGGAAACAGCATGCTCTACTTATTAGAATACAAAAGCTGTGACAGGAATTAAGTACTGGTAAAGGAAGTCAAAACTATAAAGAAAAAATCCATTATGATATATATTTCTGAATAAGTATCTAGAAAGCACTAAAATGTTCTATATTTTTGCACCATATAATATGGCTGTAACCATGTCAATAAAAGTTAAACAAACATTTATATGCACTTATAGAAAAAACAACTTGAAATCTGAGAAAAATACAGTTACAAAATTATGAGCAAAAAGTATTATAAAGTAAAGTTCATAGAGGACATCTTTCTTGAACAGATGTTAGAGTTATGAATCTTGTCAAACATGATGTATGAAATGACAAAGAACAATTACTTTAAAGGCACATTATGTCCCAGAAACAAATAAATTTGAAAGGTCAAATCTGAATTTTACAATCTTATAATCTCTAAATAAAAGTTAAAGGGGATGTCATATGTGTATTTCCTGAAGAATGTAGTGATAATGAGATTATTTTGTAATAAATAAGTAGCAAAATGTTAACAAATACTAATTCTCTATAACTGTATTCATTGTCATAAAACAAATGATAAAAAGATGGTACAGGTATGTGAATGAGTAACTTTTTTGATACTATAAAAGAATACAACAATTTTAAAAAAGCTTTCAAGAAATAAAAAGCATTTTGAGGCATAATGGGCCTTTAAGTGTATAGTAGATATAATTTATATAAAAAGATAATTCTTAAAAAAACTAACTATTTATAAATAAATAAATATAAATGTTCAAAACTTAATACAGGAGAATACAAAAGCTAGCATAATAAATCTTGTCCCCTGTAATAAAGATGTTTATAGTAAACATATTACTGTACATAGCCTGACTGGGCTCAACATTGTGCAGAAACAGAAGTTGACACTAAAAGTCTTTTCATTAACCTGTACTTTTATGCTTGTTCAAGTATTTAAAGAACAGGAAATACTTAAGTCTTTCATCCCATTTCCATTACAGGACATACAGGTATGTGGCCTATCGAAGACTTGCACGGTGGATTTGGCATCGTCTGGCAAAATATGACAGGCGTGTGTTACCTGCATGTGCAGTCACAGCAATTAGAGCATACTTTCCTTCACAACAATACACTGGATACAAATATGCCCGGGATTTTTGATGACATCTAGTGTCCTGAATACCTAGATTTGAAAGCAGAAATAGCTTCTGACTTCGAGACATGATTTGCTCCTGATGAGAGGGGTGGGGGTGCAACATAAAGTTGATATGCAGCTTCCTGTGCTTTCTTGTGAGAGCTGAACTTCATCCTAAGTCGAATCAGCTCTGAATTTAGCTTGTCAATGTAATCTGTAACAAGTAAACAAAACATCAGTCATTGATACTTGTAACTTTGTATATATTATTACTGGTTAGGAGTGTTTAAGAAATTAAAGTTGTATATGATTGACTCTTGCATTCCATGTTCATATGAATTGAGTGCAATAAAAGATAAACAAAACAACTTGTAAAAATCTTTTAAGTCATTCCTATTATTATATCAGTATATTGGTTATTCAATTTATAATTTAAACATAATAGTTTTCACCAATTTCTACATGAGCAGCAGAATGTTAACAACTATAACATGCCTTTCTCTATAAAATAAATTAATAGTGTTCAGTTGTGCTAAATTTTGATCAATACTACACATTGTCCTTCAACCTATAAAGCATAAATGCCATATGGTTTTGCTTTCATTTTTAGTCATTTATCACAGGGTGTCAAATATACCTTTATTTACCTCAGTTTTTGGAAAATATCAGAAAAGTTAGCAAATGAATGACAATTTAGTTCATCTTACCATAATTGCATTCCTCCATGATTGGTTTCACAGTATGTTTTCCACCTTTGTACTTTGGGTACCCTAGGTTGTACCGAAGAAGCCCCTCTCTAGTAACTGCCTGTGCTCTACCAGCATTTGAACATGTATGCAGGGCTGCTAGGTTGACTCTGAAAATATTTTTGTTGTAATTTAGGAATAGTGTTGAAATATTACAAGAAAGTAAAGTGCAAAGTCTGAATTGCAGCTATCTGTAGAGCAATAACCTTCTTTATAACAGCAGTAAAAGTTTCCACAAAGTATGCCTTCATAATTAATTTTATCTTTCAGGAGCATCACCTCTCAGCTGATATAATTATTTATTAATTATTAGGATGTTGCTCTGTAAAGGTTGTATCTAGTATATCAGTCCCAGATTAAAGTAAAATGCATGTTTGTTAAAGTGTTCCATAAGAACAAAATTTTTTTCTCAACTAACCTTTGCTTCATGACTGCATATGAGAAACTAACAAATTTCGGCGCAAACTGACACACAACTTTATGGTGAGCTTCAAGGCCTGATGTCTGGTCAACGGGAGATAACTTTCTGATATCTGAAACTAGCCGCTTGTTTCCAAGTAACAACTGTAACTCTTTGTGTGCTTTTGAACCTTAAATAAAAAATATTTTATAAGCTTATTCATGCAGAATATAACATGGAGCCATTTGTCTGGGAATTTTAGGTTTAAGACATAAAGAAGCAATCCAGCTGGCTTGAAAATGTCTATTACTACAAACCATTCATAAGCATCTTATGTAGTCAGTGCTACTTTTTTTTTACAGTTGTAACAACATCATTTAAAAGTACTGATCTGATATACAAGTTTCTGAGCACATTTTACAGACATTTGTATTGAATTCTTTGGTTTTAAACCAACAATACTGTTAAGATAAATTGTTGACTAAGAAAGATCTCAGACATCCCTTCCTGCATTTTTCAGACACAGACAGTGATAAAATGTATTTGCCAATTTCAACAATTAATTCTTTTATTTGATACTTCATCATTAAGCAAACACCATTTTTCAATTACATCCACAATTCACAAATTTAAATTCTTACAAGCTTCACACATTTTGATAACAGATATGGCTGTCAAGTGCATTATTACACAATAGATGCACAGCACAAAAAATCAGATGCTTACATGCCATATGACGCCAATTAAGCAAATGACATCAGGAAAATTCTTCTAAACTCAATTTAGTTTAGTAGGTTTATATCAATTCTCTTTTTATCAGCATTCGACGTTGAACTGTGCATTATTCTACAACAATGCACTCAAAATTGATAGATATTTACGACATATATCAATAATGACATGAATGTTTAAACGCAGCTATAAATGCAGCTTCTCTTAATGAAAGATAATCATTTAAGAAATTTGTTGAAATGCAAACTAAAGCATCTTTCAGGTACTGACCTGCATTAATCCAATCTCTTTCAATAAGTGTGTGTGTACATTTTGGAAATTTTCTGCCATGACCTTCATGTTTATTTGTGATATGGTTTAAAACTGATAGCCATTTCTGTTCAACCATTTCTCCATCTCCCCCACTTGTAGCAGCACAGAAGTAGAGATGATTGGAAATTGACTGTAACCATTTTCCCACTTTCTCACATCCTCTCTTTTTGGACAGTGTTGCAAGTTTGGTCTTCACACCTAAAACCAAGATCATATAAACAAGTTCAAGCAATGGCTTAACTGTTATTCACATTTATGTAACTAAAAATTTCAGTCTTAAAAAACGCTCAGTCATCTTAAGTTGAATGACATTCAGATATTTGAATGAATAAAAGTATGACTTTAAAACACAAGATAGAATTGACGTGCCAGTATACAAGAATAATCAAGGATAGAGATACGTCAATATGAAACTTATGAGTAAAACTGTTCTGTTTGTGGTAAAGTTAAAAACAATGTCATTGTGAAATAATACACAAGTTAACCTGATAAATTTACCATATGACCCTTACTTGGAGTAAACTACTAAACTCATTAGTTCGAACATTCCCAAATAACGTATTTATTTATCTATTGATTAAGATCTGAGATTTGAGCAAGTTCTTACTTTTAGCAACATGCCAGGTGTCAAACCAATGGTTAATTTCCTTCTCATTTTCTCGCAAATACTTGCGTACTTGAACGTGTCGATCTGTTGTAATGTCACTCAATTTCACACCCCCATCCTGTACTGTGCTTATTGCTCTCTTCAAGCCTTCTAACTCCATAGCGTTAGAATTTTTCACTTCATTGCTCTGAAATAAAATTTTCCTAAATATTAAACAATTCCAAATTTGGTGATTTTATTATAACTATTATATAATATATAATTATTGACTATTGAGCCATTGAAAATCACAACTAGGCAAACGCCCCACAAGCAAAAATACTTCAAGTATATACTTCTCATTGCCGTGCAACTTTGAACTATTACAATAAATAGATGATATCTAAATCAATAACTATGACATAAAGAACAAAATGCAGCAATTATTTTTGTATGTGCATAATTTATGTTATTAACAGACTTTTACAGTCTATGATGTATGGTCATTGAATATGAGTCTCATACTATTTTTAATAGATTGGGAAAATCCAATCCAGCCAGTGAATACAATTTAGTTCCATTCTTTTGTTTGCAGTTATATTTACATCATAATTTAATAAGAATTTCTATTACTTAATCCTAGAAAAATATTAAATCTCAATATCAGACACAGATTATTTGAATCATTATTATTATCCAATAGAAACCTTTGTACCTTGTGTTGAAAACAAAGAAAAAGACCCACTGATACGGCACAATTAAAAGTGACCTTACAATATAGACACATGACATACCTGTACTAATTCTGTAGCTAATACAAGTCCAGTATCTAAATCCATCAGGGTATAGCTTCCGTATTTAGCCGTATGGCCAGGTGAACAGCAGCGAGCATCCAGTCCTACTCTTACATCCTGACCCCTACATGCCATTAGATTTTCAGTCTGTTTAGCCTTCCATGTGTTGGCAATAGCAGGAACTACAAAGGATTTTTGGTGTCGCGTAAATGTACTCATTGAGATCATTGATATGTTAATGAATCTGAAAAAATTCAACACTTTACTCGGAGAAGCTCCAGAAAACACAATTCCACCTGCTGCTAACAAATTCCCTGTTGGAGTACCATTTAGTTCAGTCTGACTGCGCCATGTTTTTAGATGTCCAGTTTCACATACACTCTCTATAATAATCATACTTCCAACAACTTTCTTTTTAATGTTATAACAAACTGCCGAACAAATATGGCACAACTTAAACAGCTGGAGTAGACAACTTTCAAAGACAATAAACTTCTTCTCTGCAACAGGATCAGATGTGTCTTCCATACAATCATGCCTAAAAATAATGTGAAAAAAAGCCTCATTAAACAAGTACAAAATGTATGGACATCTGAATAACTGTAAATATTTATGCTGGCAGGTATTGCAAACCGCCTTTACTTTGAAGGAGATACCAAATGAGCCGCGTCACGACAAATCCAACATAATGGGTCTGCGACCAGCATGGATCCAGACCAGCCTACGCATCCGCGCAGTCTGAGCAGGATCCATGCTGTTCGCTTTCAGTTTCTTTACTTGTTAAATGGTCTGTAAGTGAACAGCATGGATCCTGATCAGACTGCGCAGATGCGCAGGCTGGTCTTGATTCAAGCTGGTCGCAAACCCATTGTGTTGGTTTTGTCGTGACGCGGCTCAAATGCTATTCTTTGACTGATATTAAATTAATTTATTTTATGCTTTTCAGTGGATTACTGATTTATCCGTGAAAATTATATTTGGTAATTTCACAGTGAAAATTATCAAAATATAATTTCACTTTTTTCAATGACGAAACTACTTTTTTAAGATTTTCCCCATGTGGTACCTCAATTTTATTTTTGCTGACGATTCTGACAATGTCAGGCTGTTTAAAGAAAAAGCAAAGTTGAAATTGATAAATAGGCAGTAAACGTCAAAAGTAATAAAAAGAAGAAAACTTACTTCTATTCATTCAAATTCCAATCACCAAATTTCGTCTCTAAATTTTTTGTTTCATTTTTACAGTCTGAAAAATACATTCCTTCCACATGCAAACTGCTCTTGATGACATTTGGGCATATTAAAGTATCCTACGAGTAATAACTGCCGTATGCTTTATGAAAAATTGAAAAGCAATGACAGCTACAGCTCGTAGAACAAGTAAACCACCCAGCATTCCGAGCAAGTTCCAAGTCTTCCATTTTCATAGCTGTTTTTTCATGTTTTCACATCTGTCAACACTTATTTTTTGTCTGTTTCAATCCTCAAATATGTTTTCTTTCTTTTAAAAAGGTGTATGACTAACAATTCCAAATGATATCCCTCTGAATCAAACACAATTATTTTCCTCCCGTGAAATACACAACTTTAAAAAATGGCTGCCGCTTACATTTAACAAAGCCAGGTCTAATTTAAATTCGCAGTAAGTAACAGAAATATGGATGGATGGTTGGAATTTTCTCCTACACGAATTGTTTGTTTTTATTATTAAAACAAGCGATCATTCATATTTTTTAAACAAAATAAATAATATCACTGTCATTTAATGTTGATTGTCGGACTTATTTTTTAGCTCAAGACTTCTTGTTTTTAATGAGAAATTCGCACGAAATGAGGCTCTCAATGGGGAAACAGATTTTAATATTTATGTTAATATTATGGAAATTTCGTTTAAACTTGTTTTTTAGCATAAAATAAAAAGAAAATTTGTTTGTTTGTTGTGTAAGATGTAATTTTATTTCATCTCGTGAACTTTAAAAACAGTATTCTCACTCGTGGCTACGCCACTCGTGAGAATACTGTTTTTAAAGCCCACTCGATGAAATAAAATTTCATCTTGCACACAAACAAACAAATATCCTCTATTTAATAAAAAGGCTTCTATTTCAGACTTTAGTGTGTGTGTTTCAGGAAATTCATTAATACTCCATGATTTTAAAATAATTTTTATCAACCACACAAATCTTTGTTGGATAAGACCAGAAGTAAACATTAAGGCCCCCACGATTACACGTTTAAACGGATTCGTTTCGATTTTCATTCATTAACGTTTACGATATGTTTTACCGTTTAATCGAAATGACCATATTGTCTTACAAAATATCTTAATTGCCTGAAATCATGGATTTTATCAATTCTTGTGGTTTATTCCAAAGTCAAAAACGGAAAATTGGTGTTTACAACCCTCCACACAGCATTACCGTGCAAAATTGCTCGTGACATAATACATTTTTGGTAAAAAAAATGGGAATACAATTTGTGCTGACTCAACGCGAAAATGTGTGCTGACTCAATCGTGATGAGCCCTGCACATTCTTTATTTGTACATGCATCAAAAATAGAAAGCAATACATCATTTGGCGACTCAAATACATGGTGTGTATAGTACATAGAGGTGCCACCGTTTAAACGGTATCGTTTCGGTTCTTAGCAATCGTGTAAACGTTTACAAAAAATTGTTAACGTGGGAGCCTTAGTAAACATAGAGCTGTCATTGATTCAGTGCAAAGCATATCAATCATATATCGATATCAGATGACTAAAATCAACGATACACCGATATATTGATTTTACGTTTTTAACTATAATTACTTGCCTGTCATTCACTTTCATACCTGTTTAAATGATTTCAGTTAAAACATGTTCTGTACAGTGTATTGTCCACTGCATAATTTTTTTTTTAATTACACTCTCGGATTCATAGAGTAATAAAATTCACAGAAGCCACATTATCAACTGTGCAAACTGTGTTATAATCTTATTAATCTTATATATGCTTAATAAACTTGCTACAATTCAATTACCAAACTGTCGAATTCTCATCATCATCTTCTTCATCTTCCTCTTGATCTGCTAGATCCTCCTCGGACGGTTCCCAGTCAGGGTCATTTTCAATGGAGTCATTGAATTCCTCATCAGACAACACTTCATTGCTGCCATCATCACTCTCTGGGAACTGGAAGCCCTTTTCAACCGGATGTTCTCGTATATCTGGCCCACAAATCATATCTTTTGTTTCAATGTTTGTTGAGGTCCCAAATTCACGCACTTGTACCCTGACTTGAAAGCTTTTGTTTTCTGTTGGTCTTGTGGCAACCAGCTGGAAAAGAACAAATGATCTATTAACATGATACCTAGAATATTTGTCACTGTAGAATGATTTCAAAACTATGAAAGATACAATGTAGATAAAAAAAAGCTAGAGCTCATATGAAGATAATTCTTGAAATATTTGTGCAAAAGTTAAGATGTTTATGATAAAGAACAAATATTTGAAATTTGAAGAATGCTCTCTAAGAAATAAATGAATAAATAAAAGAAAAATTAATACTTTTTAAGGAAGAAAAATTTCTAGTGCAGGAGTGATTATTCTTAAAATATTGCTTCTTGAGTTATGAACCTTGACTCCTCAAATGTGGTTTGAGTTTTAAAATTGATACCTTAAAAAGAAATGTCGCCTTGTGAACAATATAGTTTAGGATAAATGCCAGGACAAAAAAATGAAATATGAAAATAAACAAAGGGCAATAACTCAAAAAACAAGATTGCATTTGAGAAAAATGCTATGCCACCGCATTAATACAACACTAAGCCTTGTACCTTCAGACAATAAGTTTTTTTGATTTTTTACTAAATGTATAAATTGAAAATCAATGACCCCCGGGGCAAAGGCAATTTTGACCCCAGGGTTATAATTTGAACAATCTTGCTAGAGGATCACTACATAATGTTTCATGCAAAATATTTAACCTCTAGCATTTGTCAATTGCTAGAAGAAATGTGTTTAAAGTTTATACTACATGTATAAGTTTTTACTATATACATATACATATGAGGAAAACCAATGACCCCCGGGGCGGGGCCGATTTTGACCCCAGGGCTTTAATTTGAATAATCTGGGTAGAGGTCTACAAGACAATGCCTTATGCAAAATATCTAAGCTCTAGGCCTTTTGGGTCTATACAAGAAGGTATTTTAAGTTTTTACTATATGTACATATAGTGAAGGTTTTGCTATATGTACATATAGTATATGTACATATAGCAAAACCTTAAAATACCTTCTTGTAAAGACCCAAAAGGCCTAGAGCTTAGATATTTTGCATAAAGCATTGACTGGTAGACCCTTACCAAAATTGTTTAAATTATAGCCCTGGGGTCAAAATCAGCCCCGCCCCGGGGGTCATTGATTTTCACTATATGTACATTATGTCAATAAAGTATGAAAATTAACAACGGGCAATAACTCAAAAATTAAGAAGTGCCGAGTACCGGTTCTTGTGCACTGCACTTGGGGTCATTATAAGAAGCATGCATACCAAGTTTGAAGTCAATCCGACTTATAATGACTGACTTATGCTCTGGACAAGCTGACATGGCTTTTTCAAGGCGACACAAAAATATTTTACTGCACCAAAACTTTACTTCTATTATTGAGAATTGAGTACTGCTCAAGCCTGTGCTAGGGGGCGTGAGGGATGTTGCACTTTATATTACCCCTCATGTACAGACTCAATCAAACCGAGTCTGTAGTTCTCTTGTAATTTTGTTGAGATTAATGCTACCGAGGGATCACTTTAAGCTCATATACTTGTAGGTTATAATCATAACGGATAATGAATATAATAAAACCCATGTTAATGATCAATGGCACCTTCTTAGGGATGTTAATTCTGCATTTAAAACTTTTAGTTACAGGGTGGCAAATGTCCACAAGTCTCTTCTGTTGTCAATCTTTAATATTTTATATTAAAGGTGTACGTCTCATTGAATGTCCACAAAATATGCATTGGCTGGTAGAAAACATTTATCCTAAGTCAGAAATGAATTCTAAGCCCATGCCCATTACACTATATACTAATATATATCTATATGGGCATGGGCTAAGAATTCATTTCTGACTTATATATATCTATATATTAGTATATAGTGTAATGGGCATGGGCTTAGAATTCATTTCTGACTTAGGATAATTGTTTTCTACCATCAAATGCATTTTTTGTGAACATTCAATGAGACGTACCCATTTGTTTTATATTATTGGGCAAACATTTTTCCTCTCCTTTTATTAATTTCACCAAGAACAATTCTTTTCTGACAATGATAATAATAATGATGGCGATGATGATAATAATGCTGATGATTTAGAAATGAAATGTACATACTAGATTTATTTTCACCTGCTGGTATGAAAATTATCATATTACACTTGGGGCCATGTTTATTTTCATACCATTCATCCTGTATTTATAGAAAAAACTTGAATATTGGAAGGGGAATTGTATGCTCTGTGAAAAGTACAATAGATTATTTTTCTTTTAAAAAACATTGAGGGGAATGGTCTGCCATGTAAAGGGTACAATGTTTTTAGTTATACTGGGAGTTTTCTTTCAGTAAAATTTATTTTTTACTGTCTGTAAATTTTAATTTCCCTAAATTATAAGACTGTTCTAGCATTTTTGTATGAAAAACATACTTTAATTATCAGTCTTGAAATTAATCTATGCTAAGAATTTTTACCTACTTTTAATGTTAATGAATTTTGAGTATTTATTATTATTTTTTTTATAAATATTTTTCCTTTACCATTTTTTTTTTCTAACTGCTTTTCTTAATAACAATAATGTAGATCAAAAATTTTAATGTTCATATCTGGAGACAGAATATAAAGTATTTCAAAAGAATGTGGAATCTATAATTATAAACTCAACAGTTGGCCAGTGTGCCATATCTTTTCTGTATATTGCATCGTTACTTACTGGTTTGTTGTTTTAGCAGAATGTCAGTAAGTGTAACTTACTAGGTCATAATCAGGGGTTTATGGCCCCTTATGTAATGGACTTTATTGATCTATAAGATCATGCCCTAAGGGCTGGTGTTTTATGACTTGTATATTCATATCAAGTTACCACCAATTAATTAAAAGGGAAGATTAAAAGATAGCTAATTTACTTATGTAACTTTAGATTGAAAAACTTGGTCATTTTATTGCAATTAAATTTATCATAATTTATTTGATATTATTGCATAAATTATATGTAACTTAATAATAAGCATTTTCATTTTTTCTGAAGTCACCATGAATTTAAGAACTTTACTACTTTGAGTGAAGCTGTACTAATTTCTAATTCTCAGGCTTATTATCATTTTGAGCACCAAGAAATAAAAGTCCAAAAGTACATAGGTATTACAATGGTGAAAGTCAAAATAAGTTTACATTATGCAATTTATTCTTTTTGATTTTATAATTTATTTCTCATGAAAGATAAAAAAAAAAAGCATGACCCAAGGAAATTTCTAAAACTATCCACTAGTTTTTTTTAAGCAGATTTATATTTTATTCTAAAAAAAAATCAATATCAAGTGTTGGTCAATCACCATTGTAACAGTCAATGTCTTTATATATATAGTTAATTCAGATCAGCTTGAAGATGAAAAAAATGAGCATAATGTCACTTAAAAAATATTTTTGTTGTGAAATGGGTGAACATGGTTGGTATTAGGCAATTTGTTGTAGTAAAGAATGAAATTTTTAAGCAATTTGCTTGTTGTGCATGAACCAGTTGCGAAAATAACTAAAAAATAAAAATCAAACTGTCAGTAATCTTTTCAATCAAATACTTTTAAATATCAGCTTTGACAGCTTATTTCTTATAATATTTAAAACAAAATACTATTTATTAATCACACTTATGCAGATTGGATAAGGGGCCAGTCATAGAATTTTTCCAGTTATTCTAGAGAGGGTGTAAAATAATATAGTAGACACAAACAGAATCCCTAAAAAAGAGCACAAACGTGAAGTTTTCGTCGGCACAAATGGCTTTAACGTTCCGTTCACATTTCTCAATGATTTCACGGCATTTGTCCACTTCTTCACTATCATCCTTCGGGAATAGAAAAAAACCTTTCGTTCCACCGTCACTTTTGTTACGGCATCCAAATGCCACACAGTGCACCATGTTTTCCTTTCGAACACAAATTACAGTGATAAACAATTAAATAAAACAATAGTAAATCCTTTAAACAATGTTAAATGCACCTTCCTTTATTACACACACAATATAACACAATATACACAGCTGACACTTCGCTATTTTGATGTATTCGCGGGAAATGTTTACACACGAATGACTGTCACGCAGTTTGACGCGGTCGATAGGAATATTCCTACGTCATCACCAAAAATGGCGGCGGAAATTACCGATCGCGTTACGGAAAAAAACGACTTACTAAATCACATTTTTTTTACAAAAGGAATTTACAAAACATTTTTTCAAAACGATTTTTGAAATCTACGTATTAAATTTTATAAAAATTTGTAAAATATATGCAATTTTGCAAATTCACCTTTAAAGTAATAAAGGTTCCTTTGCCATGCTATAATAGACTCAAAAGCTGTTTGAACGAGAAGGATATGAATTATTTTAAGAATAAACTTCATCAAAATTGTTTAATTTTTTTGGTGACAGACACATCAAACTTAATGAATTTTTCCATATCTTTTCAGGAAAGGTTTCTGATACAGTTACTGCAAGTGCAAGCAGCAGCTGCCTATCCTCATCAGTATCAGCGAATCCATGGACAATATCTCAACAAGCAAAACTTCCATTTGCAAAGTCAAATGAGATTACAAACTCTGTAGTATATTATCTCATTCAGGACCTGCGCCCTTTCAGTACCATCGAAAGCCAACCATTTAGAAAAATGTTATTTGCCTTGGAGCCCAGGTACCAACCTCCAAATCGGCACACATTGGCAGAGAAGCTGATACCTAATATGTTGGAGAAAGAGAAATCAGCACTTCAAAGTGAACTTAATCAAGCCCTTGCAGTTGGTTTGACATCGGATGCATGGACATCAAGGTCTGCGGATTTGTACTTAACCATCACTTGTCACTACCTTAAAGACTGGAATTTGCAGTCAAAAGTCCTGCAAACTGAACATTTTCATGGAAGCCACACTGGAGAAAATGTTGGTCTTGAACTCAAAACAGCTCTATTAAAGTGGAATATTATGGATAAGGTTAAAGTTGTCACTGTTGATAATGCATCCAATATGACGGCAGCAATCAGGGTTTCTGGCGTTGATCTTAAGCTGGGATGTTTCGCCCATACATTAAACATTGCTTCCAACAAAGCCCTTAATGTAACAGCTTTAGGAAAGGTTTTAGGCAAAATAAGGTCTGTGGTTACCTTTTTTCACAAAAGTTGTATTGGAACAGAATTTTTGAAGCAGAAGCAGTCTGGTCTTGGCTTACCAAATCATAAACTGATTATGGATTGTAAGACTCGGTGGAATTCCACATATAATATGCTTCAACGATTTCTTGAACAACGACCTGCTATTCTTGCTACATTGCTGGATGAACGATTAAAAAACGTGAGTGCTAAGACAAACATTGTTACTAACCTTTCAGACTCTGAAATCAATATTTGTGAAGTTTTTGTAAAGATCATGGAGGTTATGGTTACTGCTACTTTAGCCTTGTCTGAAGAAAAGTCACCAACTGTTGGTCTTATTCTTCCATTATTAGAAAGACTTCGTAAACACTTTACAGTAAATTCTGATGATGAACCATTCACCAAATCCCTGAAGGCAGCAGTTGGCACTGATCTAGCAACAAGATATACTGATCCACAGTTGTTTGTGTTTCTGGAGGAGGCCAGTGCCTTGGATCCAAGAACCAAGAATAAGGCTTGTGTAAATGATGACACATGGAACAGAGTTTTAGAAAAAACTATTTTGTTGACAACAGTTGTGGGTAAACAAGTTACTGTAAAGCAAGAGCCAGGTCTACCTGTAGCTGATAGTAATCTACCTCCTTTGCCAGAATTGCCTTCTAATGCTACTACAACCTGTGAGGAGGGGCCAAAAATCAACTCTATGGATGATAAGACAGAGATACATAAGAAGACTGCTTTAGAGTGTTTATTTGATGATGATGTCCAAGTGATCAAGGAGGAGCCTGCATTATCACTTCAACAAAGAGTATTAAAACAGATAGATACTTACAGAAAGGCTAAGCAACTACCAATGAATGTTAACCCATTAGAATTTTGGATGGTACACCCTGAATATCCTGATCTTAGCCTTCTTGCTCAGACCTACTTCTGCGTGCAAGCAACATCTGTTGCCTCTGAGCGTGTTTTTAGCACAAGTGGTGACATTGTGTCAGCAACAAGGTCATGCTTGAAACCTGATCTTGTGGACAGTTTAGTTTTTCTTAAGAAAAATATGACCATGCCATAGTAAATGGCATTTGTAATTGCAAACTGAGCAAACTAAAAAACACTAAAAGTCTTTTGCTATAACTGTATTAACCTAAATCTTGTATTTTTTCAAACTTTGAAACATTACCTTGATCACTTAAAAAGTTAATAAAACAAAAGAATTATCTGACTTTTTAATTTTTTATTATTAAATATATATATATATTAACATATTATACAGCATCAGTAACAAAGTTAAAATCTTCAGAAATAAGAAAACAACAATATTTGGCCAGATTATTAATGATATATACTACTAATAAATACATCCTATCAATGAAGCATTATACCCAGCCCTAATCTTAACAGGGATAAAATTTTGTTTATTTGCTGTTTATTTTTTTCCTTGTAAGCTAGGCGGAATAGTTTATTCCATAGGCGGAATAATGCATTCACTAGACAGAAAATAGAACTTGTATTATTTTACAGCTAAATTCTGACTTTTTTATTTTTAAGGCGGAAATAGTAAGTTAGACTTCTAAATGTTAAACAGAAATTAAACTTAGAATTTTCAGCAAGTTTACATATAGGCAGTTAAATAAATTTGTTTCTGGATTACATTCAACAAATTTTATCTATCTCTTTATTACAACATCAGTAAAAAATCTAAGACTACAAGGTCCTCAGTGATGTGGTGTACCATGCTGTTTTATATCAGTGGTGTGTCATAATGTCATATATCAGAGGTGTAACATAACGTCATATGTCATATATCAGTGGTGTATGTCATAATGCCATATATCAGTATGTTTCATAATGTCATATATCAGTGGTGTAACATAATGTCATATATCACTGGTGTAACATACTGTCATATATTTTAGTAGTGTGTCAATATGCCATATATCAGTGTTGAATGACTGTCATATGTCAGTGATGTACGACTTTCAAATAATGTAAAAAGAGATCTTTCAAGCAGTTTTGTAATACAATATTTACACTTAAAACAGGATAATGTTGTAAGAATATAGGTTTTTGAATTAAGAAAACAATGCTCCTATTATTCAAGACTTTGAAGTTTGTTTGGAAATATACAGACAGAGACATACTGCCTTTGTGTATGAAATTAACGCTTGTATTCATTTTTGCCCTTAATCAACGTAACATTAATGAAACAATATGCCTGATACAGGTTACTTTCTTACAATTAGGATAGTAAATAAACGTACTGCATCCACTCAGATAATAGTTTGCAACAATAGAAACCACCTGTTTACCCACCATCTATGCATGGCTAATTTACTCATAGGACACTCTGCTGTAGGACTGCTACAGATCAGACTGTTCTATGCGATTATTTTGGGAAGAGACAACATCATAATGTAATACGGAGCCCCTAAGGTGACATTTTCCACACTTTTTCCCCGAGCCTTAATTCGTTTTTACGAAATATTAATTCCTAATTACGAAATAATAATTCATAATTACAAAATATTAATTCGTTTTTAACTATTATTTTGTAATTACGAAATAGTAATTCGTAATTACGAAATATTAATTCGTTTTTCCGAAATAATAATTCGTAAATACGAATGTTATTTCGTTTTTACGAAATATTAATTCGTTTTTTAACGAAATATTATATTGTAATTACGAAATACTAATTCGTAAAAACGAAATATTTATTCGTTTTTACGAAATATTATTTCGTTTTTAGGAAATATTAATTCGTTTTTACGAAATAATAATTCGTAATTACGAAATTTTATTTCGTTTTAATGAAATATTTAATTGCTTTTACGAAATATTTATTCGTTGTTACGAAATATCATTTCGTAAAAACGAATTAATATTTCGTTATAACGAAAAAATATTTCGTAAAAACGAATTATTATTTCGTAAAAACGAATTATTTTTTTCGTAAAAACGAATTATTTTTTTGTAACAACTGATTAATTTTCGTAATTACGAATTAATATTTCGTAAAAACGAATTAAATTTCGGGGAAAAAGTGTAGAAAATGTCACTTTAGGAGCTCCGTACTAAAAGGACATAGCAAACCATGAAAAAATTTCTTACAAAAGTTAATAAAGATTTTTAAATTTTACATATTCATTAGTTACTTGATATGTTTTCATTAATGCGAAATGAATTTGACTGGAATTCATTTGGATATAATCGTTCTATCTACACGGGGGAGAAACTGTAAGTTCTAATGATAACTTGTAAAGAAGTCTTGTGATAACTGTCATGGAGTGTTAGTCGGAAACCATTTGTATATACAACAAAATACTAGTCAGAAATTGTAATTTTCATCTTTAAAAAGTGAGTCTTAGGTGCTAAATTAAATTTTAATGATAAAGCCTGTCTTACATCTTGGTTTTGCGTGTATTTCTTACCACCGTTTCTTTTGTATAGTATTTTGAAGAGCATTAATTGTGCCATAAAATGCGCTTTGAAATCAATACTCAAGTATGGTGTTTTCATGTATATTCTTTTGGTGATGTTTGATGGGTATTTCCCCTATGTAATCTTAGTGGAGGAAACTCTGCTACTTTTACTGCAATTGATAACAAAAATATGTAGTCAAACCGGAGGGGCGTGCAAATTTGTTTGAAAGATCGGCAGTTAGAGCCAACCGTAGTTGAGTTTTAATCATGTATCGTACTTTTTGGACTTTAGTCCTGGTTATGTACTTGTTTATTATGGTATAAAATCATGCAAATTACGTAGACCTTAGATAAGGGAAG